TCAGGACTTCAAGAATCTCACTATATAGTTCAATCTTCCTGCCTCAGCTTCTCAAGGACTGGCATTAATCTAGTCATGCCTGACTACATTGGGAACTTGCATTAGCTCATATAAAAGTAGCACAGATGGTAAAATGTACTGGTCTATTTTTATCTTCATTTAATCACAGAGTTCAGTGCCTTCAGACACTCTTAGTGTACATGATATAAAGAATCAAAATCCCTATGTCTTTATTTGTACTTTTCTTGTACTTATATCTTGTCAATCTGGAAGGAAAAACTGCAAATGGAAATTTCCCTAACACTGTATTTCTACAAAGACTGAGGCAAGAATTAGTTCAGTCTGCTACCCATTTCTCATCATGAACACAGCCTTTACAACACACTAGTAACTGAGCTCTCTTTAGCTATTCCAATAACTTATATTGAAATTAAGTTTAATATGGGAATATAAAGGAAAACATTAGTGGTCAGAAGACCATCATATGACATTCAATATTTGAGAGGCTCAAATTTTAAGCTTCTTTTCTAATTTTAATTCATCATATATTTAATATTAATTAAAATTGCCTGTAATCTTACAAATTAACTTATCGACTATTTCCTTCTCCCTGTATCCTTCTAGTTCTAACCGACATGCCTTGTTCTATATTAGAATCATAGTCCAGATTCAATCAGTGCACCTTAGCTTACCTAACATACTAACAGTTTATTCTGCCTACTTCCCTAGTACTACATTAGGTTACAAGTGAAAATGAGACATGCTGAAAATACGCCCCTTTTTTAAAGCTCCTTCAGTATAACTTTCATTTTCCTTTAAACTATTTCCCTTCCCAAACAAACAAGCAACATGCAGAGAAGCACTATGCTGAAACATCAATTCTGCTTGCAACAGTTTTCCCATATCCAGATCACAAGTATCACTGAGCATGCATAGAGGACTTCACTCTGCATGCTCTCATTATGGAACATTCTATGATGGGACATGGAAGTTAGAATTAAAATATTTACTTACTTATCTGTGTATGTGCACGCGCACATGTGTGCCTGAGTGTGGTCTATCTGTGGGCATCATGTTATACGTATGACAGTGAAGGTCATAGGATGGCACTGGGTCCCATGGACACGGAGTTACAGGCAATTGTGAGGCACTATGTGGGTGCTAGGAAGCCAACCCATGTCTTCTGGTGTGTGCTCTGAACTGCTGAGCCACCTCTCTACCCCAGAAAGTCGGTATTGATACAGGCTGCAGCATGAATGGCCAACCCACTTTTTGTGAGAGCCATTTATATCTGAGACTAATCATCTAAAGTGATCCAAGTTAATTTTTTTGTGCTTGTGTTTTATTTCTGGTCTTTTATGCTTTGGTCAAGCTTTCCCCAACACAAGATCTGCCTTACCTAAGTCATTCTCTCTTAGGCAGATTCATAGACAGTCAGGTGTTCCTGGCTAGACTGGAAACTTGGAGCTATTGTCTATGTTCTCATGTGACATGTTAATATTTTAATTAAGCTGTATGGGTACAACATGTTATCGTCTGTAAGTTAAAATACAAAGTTCAAAATAAAATTTACTGGCTTCTGTGGACAATGCTAAATACGAAGTTCCGAGATAATTATTTGAAAAAGGAAACAATAAACTATAGTCTTAAAAGAATTAGCTTTTTCCGGGCAGTGGTGATACACTCCTTCAATCCCAGCACGTGAGAGGCAGAGGCAGGCAGATCTCTGTGAGTTTGAGGCCAGCCTGGTCTACAAAGCAAGGTCCAGGACAGCCAAGGCTACACAGAGAAATCCTGTCTCAAAAAACCAAAAATTAATTAATTTTCAAAGGTAGGCATGTGGCTCAGCCTGTAATCCTAGCACTGAGGCAGGAGGACTACCACAAATTTGAGGCCAGCCTGAGCTAAACTTATATGGCAAAACTATCTCAACACTGGCCACCACCACAGTAATTAATTTTCAAATAGAACATGTGCTCTACCAAGGAGCTACATGACCATCCCTGCACATATGTCAGATCAATGTTTATCTCACTAACTCTTACTTTAACATTTGGGTTGCTTCTACTCTTTAACACTAGTGTTTTGCCCACTAAGACATCTCCCTGGCCCTGTTCCTAAGGTTCTTTTTTATACATACTTTCAAATGGCCCTCTAGGAAGGCTGTTTATCAAGTGTTTATTTTACCACTACTCTAATACTCGGTATAAAGTAGCTTTAAATTATATAGAAGTAAGAGAACAAGGAGGAGGAAAAGTAGTTTAACAGTTACTTTAAAAAAAGATGGAAATCAAAGTTATACTACCAGCCGTTTTCGTTTGTTTGTTTTTGAGACAGGATCTCTCTATGTAACCTTGCCTCTCCTGGAACTCTCTATGTAGACCAGGCTAGCCTCAAACACACAGAGATTCACCTGCCTCCTGAGTTTTGAGATTAAAGGTGTGCACCACACACCTGGGTTATCCTTATTTTTAAAATCAGGAGCTGAAACTCATGCAAGTAATGTGACTTGCTTAAGTTTATTGAGGTAAGTACATTATTTTCACTATGATCTATTGTGAGTTGGGCTTTGATTAGTGGTCTGTCTCAATGAAATACTAAGATGGTTCTAATGAATTTAAATGAAAGCTTTTCAGTTTTTTTCATAAAAAGAACCAAGGTGATAGCTACACTCCAAATCAAATCAAATTTTCTTAAGTAGAAAGCAATATGCAGAAGGTAAATAATTTTCAAGTAAAAGTCAACTTACTGTGGTAGTTTGAATGTAATTGCCCATTAAGCTCATAGGGAGTGGCACTATTGGGAGGTGTGGCCCTGGTGGAGGAAGTGTGTCACTGTGGGGGGATTTGAGGTCTCCCATGCTCAAGTTAGGCCTAATTCAGTCCACTTCCTATTGATTTCAGATCAAGAAGTAGCTCCTTCTCCAGCCATGAAGATAATGGACTAAACCTCTGAATCTGTAAGCCACCCAATTAAATGTTTTCCTTTATAAGAGTTGTCATGGTCAAGGTGTCTCTTCACAGCAACAGAAGCCCTAACTAAGACACTTACCATGTTTAATGGCTTCAATGACTTAGTTTCAAGGTTTCATCTCTCAACTAAAGAGAAATGAAGTTTTCAGTCCAGCCTAGTTTTACAGTTCAGGAGAATCTAAATTTAAGAACCACTTCTTGGGACTAAAGAGATGGTTCAGTGGTTAAGAGCACTGGTTGTTCTTCCATAGGATTCTGGTTTGATTCTCAGCACTCACATGGCAGCTCACAACTGTTGGTAACTCCAGTTCTATAGGATCTGATGCCCTCTTCTGGACTCTGCAGGCATTGCATGCACATGCTGCACAGATAAACATGCAGGCAAAACAGCCATACACATAAAAAAATATATAAATTTTTAGAGAAAAAAAAAAAGAACCACTTCTTAGGCTGGAGGCTGGAGAGATGGTTCAGTGAATAGTGTTTCCTGTACAGGTGTGAGGCTCAGCATCCAGATCCCCAGAAACCATGCAAAGCCAGGTACAGCAGCATTCATCTATGACCTAGTTGTGGTGGTCTGAACGAAAAAAGCCCCCATAGGCTCATATATTTAAATATGAGGTCCCCAGCTGGTGGAACTGTTCAGGAAGGGTTAGGAGGTGTGGCGTTGTTGGAGGAGGTGTCAAGGGGGTAGGCTTTCCTAGCTAGCTTTCTCTCTGTCTCCTACTTGCAGACAAGGATGAAAGCTCTCAGCTACTGCCTTGGCACTATGCATTCCTGCCTGTGTGCTGCCATGCTCCTTGATGTAGTGGTCATGGACTCTAACATTCTGAAATTGTAAGCCCAAATAAACTCTTTCTTCTATAAGTTCCCTTGGTAATGGAGTCTCTTCACAGCAATAGGAAAGTACAAGATAAAAGTGGAGACAGGAGACTGCCTGAAAGCTCATGAACTAGTGATCCTGGAACATGCAGCATCCAACAAGGATAACTTGTCTCAAACAAGGGGGAAGGCAAGGACTGGATGACACCAGAGGCTGTCCTTTGGCTTCCACATCTGCACACTGGCTTGCATTCCCCCTGGCATTTACACATTTGCATTTGTATACACAAATGTGTACACATACTTGCATTATTAACATATGCATGCACATTCATACACATACACACACACACACACACACACACACACACAATTTCTTCTCCTAATTTCAGGCTACTAACATGATAATCAATATTTAACGTGTCTGACTTTAAAATCAAAATTAGTGGGGCTGGAGAGATGACTCTCCAGAGGACCCATTTGGTTCCTAGCATCCATGTCACAACCACCTGTGATGCCAGCTCCAGCTAACTTGATACTCTCTTTTAGCCTCCTTGGCCATCTGCATAGGAGTGTGCATGTGCCATGTACACCACGTAACAAAAATATTTTAAAAAGGGCGGTGGTAGTGCACACCTTTAATTCCATCACTTAGGAGGCAGAGGCAGACAGATTTCTATGAATTCAAGACCAGCCTGATCTACATAGTGTTCCAGGTCAGCCAGGGATGCACAGTCAGACCCTGTCTCCAGACAGCTATAATCTTAGCACTCAAGGTAGAGGATGAGGATCAGGAGTTCAAGGCCATCTTTGGCTACATAGTGAGTTTGGGACCAGCTTGGCTTTTATGGGACCTTCTTTTAAATAAACAAACAAACAATAAACAAATAAAGTTCACAGAAACTTGGCTAGAAAAGTTAATGTCTATTTTAGAGCATTAAAATTTAACATAGATAATGAAGAGTTTCCCACTTTTGGGGGGAAGGCAAGAAGGAGAGTGGGATGCTAGGGACTGAACCCAAGACCTCACACGCACTTGACAAGCAAAGAGCTCTACCCCTGAGTTACAGCTTTAGCTCTACCATCCTATTTTGGGAATGTGTCTTAGTCCACAAAAATTAAACTCAAGTACAACAAAAGAGTTCAGTTTAAATAAAAACGTTATTTTATCTTTCTTTCTTTGACAAAATCTTGTCTAATGCTTACCTGAGCCATCAGTAGGAACAGAACTTGCATTGATTCCAGAAAGACCAAACAAGGGACATTCTCGATCTGTGTTCACATGACCCCACTTGTGACATTTAATACACCTGACATTTCGAACCTGAGAAATAAACAGTATTTTGATTCTCAAATACCAATAGCCTAACATTCAACTTAGCATTTTTATTTAGCCTCCTCACTCCTTTTTCTTTTTTGAGACAGGGCCTCACTATGTAGCCCTAGCTGGTCTGGAACTTACTATGTAGATCAGGTTGGCCTTGAACTCAGAGATCCACCTGCTTCTGCTTCTAGAATATTGGAATTGAAACATACACCACCATACTTGGCTAAGTTCCTTTTTAAAAAGATCTCCAGGGAAAGAGTCTGTAAATATGATGGGTATGTCAATACAAATACTAAACTCTTCTACAAATTTGCCTAAAATCCAAGGTCAATCCTATCTGTGCCTCCTACAATAAAACAATGCCATCCAAAAAGAAATGGTAAGATATCACAAAGAATTATGTCACGGTTTAATTACAGGTTCCCTAATTCTAATACATTCACCTAGTATCCACTCCCCTCCTTTATATATAGAGTCTCTGTACAGCTCAGGCTGAGCTTCCAAGCTTCTTGCCTCGCCTCTACCTTTCATAAGTTGGAAATCCAGGCCTGTGCTACCACACAGATACATTTCTCCGACTGAAGCAGGCCCTCACAACACACTGTCAAAGTGCTTTTCCACTGAGCTAGTCTCTCTAGCCCTCAAGTTTCACATTTCTAACCATGGGTTAGCAAATGTACCCTGTGAAGTAAAAACAGTATTTTAATGCCGGGCGGTGGTGCATGCGTTTAATTCCAGCACTCAGGAGGCGGATATCTGTGAGTTCGAGGCCAGGCTGGGCTATAGAGCAAGATCCAAGACAGGCTCCAAAATTACACAGAGAAACCCTGTCTCGAAAACACAAAAAACAAAAAACCAGTATCTTGAGTTTTTCACTTCATGTGTGTGTCTTTGGCTGCTGTTGTGACAGGAGACGTGTCAGGAGAGCTGCCACACAGCGCACAGGTAACTACAGCAATGTTTTTCACAAGGATCAGCCTTGGAGGGACAGCTGACTGTTTCGAAATCAGTAACATTTTAACACCTTTTCTTGACCTCGAGTTAGTTTTCCAGATTGTTTGAAAACTGTATTGACCACATCATTATACCTTCACTTAACTCGATTCTCAACTTCCATCTGCTTACTACATTTCATGTTTTCTCCTCATTCTTATCATTTGATATAAATATAAACTACAAAGCTGTTTTAGCTTAAACATTGTGATGCTAACCTTGGCCTGGCAACCTGACTACATCTGGAATCAACTAAAACCCAAGCTGCTGGACACTCCAGTGTGGTGGTTTGAAAGAAAATGGTCCCCAGAGGCTCACAGGGAGTGATGCTTAGGAGGTGTGGCCTTCCTGGAGTAGGTGTGGCCCTGTTGGAGGAAGTGTGTCACTGGGGGCAGGCTTTGAGGTTTTAGATGCTCAATCTAGATCCACTCACTGTCTCTTCCTGATGCCTGGGGATCCAGATGTAGAACTCTCAGCTACTTCCCCAGCACCATGTCTGCCTACACGCCACCATATTTCCTGCCATGATGATAATGGACTAAACCTCTGACCTGTAAGCCAGCCCCAATTAAATGTTTTCCTTATAAGGGTTACCTTGGTCACGGTGTCTCTTCACAGCAATAGGACCCAACCTAAGACACTCCTGTGAGGGATTTTCTTGATCAGTTATTAAACCTGGCCACACCTCTTGGTAACAGAAATCAAAGAAGGAAGCTTCACTTTCTGCCTGCTTGCTCTCTCTCACTGGCAAGTTTAAGTTTCTCTCTCTCTCCTGTTGCTGCTGGTATTAAATCCAACTTCTTCAAGACTCCGACGCAGACTAAAGAGCAGCAGCTCTGCAGGAATCCTCCAGGACTGCAGAGACGTCCAGCCTCATGCACTGAACAGCTACTGGATTCTCAGCCGTTCCACTGTGCGCCAGCCACTGCGGCGCTGCCTGAAGCACATCCTCAAGGCCAGCATAACACATCCCCTTGATATACAAATTCACCTCATCAGTTCTGCTCCTTTAGAGAACTAATATAAACATCTTCTGGAAAATAATGTAGAGATATATGTACTAAATAAAAATTATTCTTAAAGAGTAAAATACATGTCACTTGCCTGAATACCAAAGGGCTGATCTCTGATGTTCATGTCATCTTTGGCATATCTATTAAATAAAATGTATTAAGAACAATTTAATAAATTCAATGGCAGTTAACCTGAAAACAAATTTATTGTTCTTACAACAAAAAAATACACTACTACTATGGAAATATACAACCAGCATCAATTTTTAAGTGTCTATCTCAGTGGTCTCCAGCATTCCCAATGTGGTGACCCCAGCTATAAAACTCTCTTCGCTGCTACTTCGTAACTGTAATTTTGCTACTGTTACTAATCCTAATGTAAATATCTATGGTTTTTGATGGTCTTTTGGAGGTTGCAACTTACAGGTTGAGAACCACTGGTCTACATAACCTGATAATGTACAGTTTTAAAAAGTGAACAAGTTCATAAATCAAGGCTAGAATGAAGCATACTGGTTGTCTGAGGTGAATCCCATTAGTTACTTGCCCTGTTAAATGAACCATCAGGCAAGAAGGACAGCAGACAACGATACACATTTTCTCCTAGTAACAAACCAGTGCTTACTTTTCTCTCGGAGCACCTTTCTGCCATTCAAACTTGTATTCTGTCTCTCCTTCCGTTTCTTCTTTCTACAGGAGTTAGTAAAAATTCTTTAATTTCAAATAAAATCGCAATCAACCATAAATCAATTCAAAAAGAGAAGAGCACTCACCTCTTTGTTTTCTTGATTGCATATTCAAAGCACAGGAGGAAGCAAGACAAGTTAGCAACGTCAGTGGAAAAGTCTACTATTATTACGCTGTATTACTGTATAACTGTACCCTGCAAGAATTAACTGGTTTTTCTTTCTTCACAAGATAAAACTCCAGATCACTGAAGGATAAAATACAACCTTGCACTAGACTTCAGAATAGGCATGCTCATAATTTTTAAGCTTTTATGTTTCAAATGGACTTTCCATTTAAAAAACACATTTAATAAGGACTACATATATGTCCATTATTAAAGGATAAATATCCTTTTGTAATATTGAGGACGTAAGCTCCTACAGCAGGATGAGCCGGGCGGTGGTGGCGCACGCCTTTAATCCCAGCACTTGGGAGGCAGAGGCAGGTAGATCTCTGTGAGCTGGAGGTCTACAAAGCAAGTTCCCGGACAGCCAGGACTGTTACACAGAGAAACCCTGTCTTGAAAAACCAAAAAAAAAAGTATTTTGTGTTGATCCTCCCGTGTTGATGACAGCACTGGAGCTGCTACCATCAGAGTAAGAGCAATAGGAAAGACAAAGAATAACCCTTAAATACTGACTGCTCTTCTCAACCTTCAGACATAATCACATCAGAGATTAAAGGAAAAGAGGTAAGTACCTTTTTTAACTCCTGGTGGGGCCTCATACATGAAATTCAGGCCATTCTTTACACGCTCATCTCCCATAAGCAATCTAAATGAAATAAACGGAACAATTTTAAATAAAAGGAAGACCGTGATAGCATACCATCACTCAAAGAATAACCCTAAAGGAATTAAGACATTTTTATTAGAAACAAAGCCCAAAAAGTGCGGCCTTACTAGAGACTTGCTGTAAATTTGAACCTTCCTTCTTCTCTCTAGTTCTCCCAGTAAAATACGAAAAAAGATGATGTTACTCTTACAGAATTTTTTAAAAAAACTATGAAATGCTGTTGAAATAGTTAAGTTTTGAAATTCTATGTGCCATCAGGTATTTTGGTGCCACAACCTTTTCTTTTTAAAATGATTTGAGATCTTTTTTTCTTGGTTTTTCCAGACAGGGTTTGTCTGGCTACCCCTGGCTGTCCTGGAACTCGATGTGTAAACCAGGCTGGCCTCGAACTCACAGATTCACCTACCTCTGCCTCCTGGGTGCTGGGCTTAAAAAAGGTGTGCACCATCACCACCACCACCAGCAGCAGCAGCTATCTTAGTATTTTTGATTGTGTGTGTGACAGAGAGAGAGAGAGAGAGAGAGAGAGAGAGAGAGAGAGAGAGAGAGAGAGAGAGAAAGCCCGTGTAAGCAAGGGGCTGAAGTGGGGTGTTTTTCTCAATCATGCACTTATTTTTAATTCATTATTGTGTGTGTCAAAGGACAACTTCGTGCAGACAGTTCTCTGCTTCTAGCCCTATGTTGGTCTCAGGGACTGCATTCACCTTCACTCATCTGGCCAGCCCTCCACCTTACTTTTCAGACAAGGGCTCTCACCTGGTGCTCACTGACTAGACTACACTAGCTAACCAGCAAGCCCCAGGACCTTCCTGTGTCTGCCTCTGGAGCACTGGGGTCACAGATAAGTAGCAGACATCTGGCTTGTTATGTGGGGACTTGGAACGCAGGCTCAGGCCCGCCGCATACCTTCATGATAAACATTTTACAAACTGAGCTAACTTCCCAGCCACAAAAACTAAGTTTTTTAATGAGAACAAGGAAAAAAAAATTAACAAAATTCTACAATAGCTAATACAATGAAACCAGAGATGACTATTCCTAAAAACAAAACAAAACAAACAAAACACCTTAGGTAGTGACTGAAACTTCCTGCTACAGGCTGTGTGCAGCATGTTGCTGCTGCACTTCTTAAGGAAAAGGTCCACAACAAACAGTATGGCTACACTGTAAAATCCAAGTTAAGTATTAGAAAAAGCTAAAGTTTAAGTATGAAATGTCTTTGTATTTGGAAATGGCAATCACAAAGGAAATGCTACATTATTGTATGCAATTCTCATTTTTTTCTCTATTGGAGTCTATACTCCCCCCACCCCCTAAGCCCCCCCCCCAAAAAAAAGGAAAGAAAAAAAAACCCAAACAAAACAGAAAGACATATAAATATATATCTTTTTTTTTTTAATTTATTTATTTATTATGTATGCAGAGTTCCGGCATGTATGCCTACACACCAGAAGAGGGCACTAGATCTCATCCTAGATGGTTGTGAGCCATCATGTGGTTGCTGGGAATTGAACTCAGGACCTCTGGAACAGCAGCTGGTGCTCTTAACCTCTGAGCCATCTCTCCAGCCCCTAAATATATATCTTTATTGTGGAACATTATTCTTTAATTAAAAGGAACATATACTAACGTATGCAGTAGATGAACTTCAAAAACATGCTAAATGAAGCCGGGCAGCGGCGGTGGTGGCGCACGCCTTTAATGCCATCACTCAGGAGGCAGAGGCAGGCAGATCTCTGGGAGTTTGAGGCCAGCCTGGTCTACAGATCGAGATTCAGGACAGGCAGCAAAACTATGCAGAGAAACCCTGTCTCGAAAAACCAAAAGAAAAAAACATGGTAAATCAAAGAAATCAGGGGCCAATAACACAGATCAGTGGCCAGTTGCCTCCACCCAAGCTTGCTGACCTGAGTTCAATCCATGGAACCCACCCACACAGTGAAAAGAGAGAACTGCCTCTTACCAAGTAGCCCTCATATGCTCCCTATATAGATACATATACACAAATAACATTTTTAAAAATTAAAAGAATTAACCAGTCACAAAAGACCATTTGATCATCTGCCATGTGTCCACAATTCTAAAAAATTCATAGGTAGAAAGTGCAATGGTGACTCCCTGTAAGAGGCAGAAACAGGATAAATTAGGAAATGGGGAATGGCTACAAATGAACACACTTCCTTCTCAGGTGATGAAATGTTTTGAAATTTGTTACGGTGATAGCTTAGCAACACTAAACAAACTTAAAACCTAGGCATATTTTAAACGGATCTGTAAATTCGTCTTAACACCATTTAAAAGTTGTAAATCAAGTACATGAAAAGCTGAGCTTCACTAGACATCAAGAAATACAAATTAAAACTACAACAAGCCACCACTTCATATCATCACTTATCAGCACAGTCATTAATAAATGAGCTAAGATGTAACTCAGTTGGTAGAGTGCTGGCCTGGCACACAGGAAGTCCCGTGTTTGATTCCTAGCATCACATACACCAGGTACAGTAGCACATGCCAGCACTTGGGAGTTCAAGGCAGAAGAATCAAGAGTTTTAGGTCATCCTCAACTACATAGGGAGTTCAAGACCAGCTTAGGCTATGGGAAAGTTTGATGGTTCTTTAAAAAGCTAACCAAAGAATTACCTTAGGATCTAACAATCCTACTCCTAAGCACATAAACAAAGCAACTGAAAATAGTCTTGAACAGATACCTATATGCCAATGTTAACAGTGCGATCCAATTATCCATAAACTGATGAATGTCTCACGTTTCAAATATAAATGTTTCAAAAATAAATGTTGCTTCAGAGTACATTCCATATAATCAAAACACCACTCCTAAGTCAATTAACCAAATACAAATACAATGAGAATAACTAAAAAGCAGGTGCCATTCTAGAAGAAGCCAATGAATGGACTCTAGCCACAGCACACAGGTCAAAGACACCCGGCTTCTCTTCTAAGTGTCCTGAGCATACTTTCACTCCAATGTATTAAAGAGAAACCTTTCTAATCTGGCTCAGGAATTAACATGCAGTGTTTATTATTTCTGCAAGCTCTGCCTCATTTAGGATTTGCTCACAGTCTGGATGAGTCAAATGAAGCTGTGCTTTATGTGAATAGGTAAATTTGGAAAAGGTGACCATATATAATTATGGGAGAGGAGCTGACTCAGTAAGTGATTATTCCCGTGCAACTGATTATTCTAAAATCACTAATAACGTGGCACTTACCTGTTATCATATGACTCTTGTTCTTTAAGGTACTGTTGCATTAATTCTTCTTGTTTCTTTTTATCATATGATATTTTCTGTTCTGCCATCCATACCTATATTAGTGAAACAAAATCTAATTCAACAACTGGATTAAATAAGGAGTTTGTTTTGTGTATATGCATGTGTATATGGAGTCCAGGGTTTGAAACAAACTATCTTCTTCAGTCACTTTCCATTTTACTTACTGAGGCAGGGTCTCCCACTGAACCCAGAGTTCAACAATTCCATCAGTCTAGCTACCAGCTTGCATGGAGGATCTCCTGTCTTCATCCCCTGAAGGTGAGGATTACAAATGGGCTACCATGCCAACCTGGCTTTTATGTGGGTGCTGGGGACCCAAACTCTGACCTCACACTTATCCATCAAGTGTTTCATCCACTAAGCTATCTTGATAGCCCCGGAAGCTTGCTTCTATAACGAACCACACCTAGTTAGCCAGGCGTGTTGGCTCATGTCTGTAATCCCAGAACTCAGGAGGCTGAGGTAGGAATACTAAGAGTTCCAGGACAGCAAGCTTGTCTGAAAACAAGCCCCCTCACCCACAAAAACCAGAAAACTTACCATGTATCTCAAGTTTTACATTTTATAGTTATTTAACTAGTCTCAACTGCTCAAGAACTTTTTTTACATTAACTGAAAAAAACACAGGTCCATTGCCAAAGTCCTCATGATTCTTCTGCACATTATAAACTATTTTATGACTTAAAAAGGAGAAATGGAAGTCAAGTGCAGTGGCTTACACCTGGAATCTCAGCATTTGGGAGGCAGAAACAGGAGGATCAGGAGTTCAAGGCCATCTTCCCTGGATAGCAAGTTTGAAGCCAGCCTAGACTACAGGAGACCCTGTCTCAAAAAAGAGGCCATGAAATGTGTAAAAGACACGTGGGGAATAGGATTATGTACAAAATAAACAGAATAAAACTTTGGGGGCCAGGGGTCAAAGGGTAAGGCAGAGATGGAAAGACCTAGTACTCTTTTTTTTGAAAGTGACTTAAAAATTAAGTAACAGGTCTTTAATCCCAGCACTCAGGAGGCAGAGGCAGGCAGATTTCTGTAAGTTCAAGAACAGCCTGGTCTACAGAGTGAGTTCCAAGACAGCCTTGTCTACACAAAGAAACCCTGTCTTGAAAAAAAAAATTAAATAACTATATTCGCAGATAACCAGTGTTAGCACTTCTTGTATTCTTCCACAGATATTGTAATGTACATGTATGCTCATATATACATAGCATTCTTTACATGCATGGTAACATACAGGACCCACAACTGGCTTAGAAACAACTAAAAGCTTAATACAGTCTCACAAGCTTGTGTACTTTTGAGCACTTTTCGTGATGCACAGTGCTAAGCCTTTCCCGTTTCTATTCTTTTCCCACACTATCTCATTTAATCTTCCTAACCATTTTACACATCAGGGCACCTGACACTGTCATCCTTATTTAGCAGAGTAGGAGGTTAACGATCATGACATGAAATATTTTGTGCGAGGCCTCAGGGCTAAATGTGACTGTACTGAACTAAGAAGAATCCTGCTCTTGACTCCAAAGCTCAGACACTCTCCGTCGCCATTCTTTCGCGCTGTAATTCCCGCCTCGGTCCAGTGTCCAGTCCTTGGTTGACCTGTAATTTTTTTAAAAACGCTGAACTTGAATGCCGCCATCAGACACCACACTACTGGATGGAGATGTGGGACTAGAGAGTGAAGGCAGGGGCGGCTTTCTCTCGGAAGATCTCCGTTAGGCAGCGAGTCTTGCCACAGGGAAGCAGAGCTCACGGGTCTGGTCTTAGGGCTCTAGGAGACGGACCCGGAACGGGCCGAAGGCAGTGTCGCCGAGCTACGGCGTCAGTCTCCACACTGACTGACAGGGCTGGACTTTGGGGACCACTCGGCTGGTTGCGTTAGCCTGGAGGAAGGGGCGACGTCTCCGGGCCCGCAGAGGCCACGCCTGTCCCAGGGACCCAGCCCATCGCTGCCCTCTCCGGATCCCTTTCCTCACCTTCTTGATGTTGGATTTGGACGCAGGGTGGAAGTCCTTTTTGCACATGAAATTGGCGAACGACTTCCCCATCTTGGAGTCCGAGATGGAGGAGCCCGGCGCTAAGTCTGAGAGGGACGTAAACAAACTCCGGGAACGTCACCGGAACTGTAAGGCGAGCAGGGGAGAGAACTTCCGAGGTCCAAGGGGACTACTTCCGACGATTAGCTCCCGGGGCCCGCCCCTTCGTTTCCGGCGAGTGCTTTTGGTAGCTGCGGAGGCCGGCCCGCCGTCCGCGCGTGCGCAGCTGATGGTAAACGCGGGGAGCCGACGGTCCGCGAGCGTGGCTGTCGGCGGGGTCGCGGGCCGCTGTGGGCTCTGCTGCGCCAGCCAGCTTCGCTGCGAGCGCAGGCATCGGGAGCGGGCGAGGTCTGGAAGTTCGAGCCCAGCACTTTCTGGCAACGCCGGCTCCAGTTGCAAAACCTCTTTTTTTTTTTTTTTTTTTTTTTTTTTCCCAGCTCAGTTCCCATGTAGTTTATGAAGACAGGCAGCCTCGTGCCGACTGTAGGATGATTGTGAGACTCAGAAGATCAGTGTTGCCGAAAGCCCTGGAAGAGACTGTTAGCGCCTCAAGAACCGGGGCTCTTCCCTTCCAGTTGTTGTTATTGTTAATTATGGGGTTTTTGTTTGTTTTTTTGAGACAGAGTCTCACTATCGAGCATTCATTGGCTGTCCTTGAACTAAATAGACCAGGCTGGCCTCGAACTCATAGATCCTCCCTGCCTCCGCCTCCCGAGAGCTGGGTGGGAATAAAAGCGTGAGCCACTAGACCCGGCTTCCTTCGCTTATTTCCAGCTATGCAGAAAGATGGTCAACGAGCGCCGTGAACGATAAAAACACGTTAGGGCCAAGGGCTTTCCTCCCCGGGTGCTGTTTTCTTAGTTGCTGCCGCTATCCCGGTTAGTGTGCCTCTCACTGCAGCTTGATGGCCCTAGGGTTTGGTGTGGGTATGGCCGTTAATCCACTGACCTCTAGTAAGGATAAGTGTAAGCCAGCTTAAAACAGGTGACAGTTTTCGTATGAGGGTCGAGTGTGTTCCAGGTAATTTTGTGACAATTTTGTCTTATTTGTGACACGGTCCATATAACCCTCAAACTTGGATTACAGGCATGCGCCATCAAGCTGGGCTTTCACCTTCAGGGTCACGCTGAATCAATCCTCAAAATAGCACTGCTAGATGGTATTTGATTTTATTTTGCTGATGAGCCTGGAAGAAAAGAGGAAGAGAATCAATAGCCTGCCTGAGTTATGTGTTGGGGTAGCTAACTTTGGAGCTCTGTAAATGGGAGATCAAAATTTTCAGAGAGGAGACACAAAGGAAGAACAGTGGTCACTTCTCATCTTTGAGAACAGAAGAACCTTTACAGTGTTCCGTGGTGAACTCATTTTGCTTGTTTGAAAACGAGTTTCACTATGTTGTTCTTGAATTACGTAGCACAGGCTAGCTTTAAACTCTAGCTCATCCTGCCAAGTGCCAAGATTACAGGTGTGCCGCCGTACCCTGCTTCGTTTTCCTTCCAGTAAAATATATTGATTTTATTTATAGTTATTGTATTTTTATTCAGTTTTAAAATGGTCAGAATGCTCGTGTATAAAACCATGCTAAGATTTGGTTCTTATAAAAGAAGGAAACTGGGCTGGGAAGGAAGCTGAGCAATTAAGATAGCTGGACAATTTTCCTGAAGACTGGAGTTCAGTTCCCAATACGCACTTGAGATGCCTCACAACCTCCTGTAACTCCAGCTTCTTGGGCACGTCTTGTGACCTTCTTTGGCACCCCCATACTTATGGCAGACAGACACGTAATACATACACATAAATAGTAAAAACAAATCTTAAGACATTTAAAATAAAAGAAGGAAACTAAAACTATGTCTGTTCTGAAAGCAAAATAAAAATAGAGGATTTTCCAAATCACAAACGAAGACAATTTGTATGTTAGTTCTACAACCAGGATTTATAAAGTACAAATACAAACTCCCACCTGGAAACCTTAACAGTTGGGATTTTGTTTGTTTGTTTGTTTTCTGGTTTTTCCGAGACAGGGTTTCTCTGTGTAACAGCCCTGGCTGTCCTGGAACTTTGTAGACCAGGTTGGTCTCAAACTCAGAGATCCTCCTGCCTCTGCCTCCTGAGTGCTGGGATTAAAGGTGTCACCATCATGCCCGGCCTTACATAATTTCTAGTAGTGATAGATTAACAAGACATTCTCTAGGATCTCACTGTCGAGTAAGGAGCCTCATGCATACCCTAATACAGCAGACTAAGACACACACAGTAGCCATGCCACTGTATTATAGTAGTACTTGGTTAATTACTAAATCAAATCCTAATTTTTATAGTTTATGTTATTTATTTAAGACAGGTCTTACCATATACCCCTTGCTGCCCTGGGACGCACAGAAATAATATGACATTTAAGGTTTTACTATGTACCCTTCTTAGGTATATTCGTGGTCATAGAGAAAAGCTCTTTGTTTTATGTGTACTTAAAAGTGTTTTTTTTTTTTGAAGCTTCTGTATGATTTCTTTTTTTTTTTTTTAAAGAAATGGAACCCTATTCCTGTGACACTTTTGTGGCATTACCTCCAGCTACAGTTGGTAACAGGGTAATTTTTGGAAAAAATTCAGACAGACTCTTCGATGAAGTACAAGAAGTCATTTACTGTCCAGCGGCAGTTCATAATGATTTGGGAAAACGTCTTAAGGTAGGTAAAAAATATATGTTGTGTTAGCAGTATCTATCTTTAAACATACTAATAATGGATATTTCTTTAAAAAACAATTTAATTTTATTGGATGTGTCTGAATATTTTACCTGTATGTATGTTTGTGCACCACAGGTGTGCCTAGTGCCCAAGGAGGTCAGAAGAGGGTGTAAGGTCCCTGCAGCTTCAGTTCCAGACAGTTGTGAGCTGTCATGTGGGTGCTAGGAACTGAGCTCTGCTCCTCTACAAGAGCAGCAGGTGTTCTTAGCCACTGAGCCACTTCTCTAGACCCATAAATGGTTATTTCTTCCAATAGCTACCAACTGACAGAAGACCACTCAAGTTAAAATTCAAGAATTTAAGGTTGAAAATGGTTTGAATCTAAAATAGACTTCTGGTCATTTCAATAATTTATAAGAAGCTGTAAAATAATAAAAATGGTTATCTCTTTGATTAAATAGCTGAACTTTTTTATATGTTATATATGTTAGTTGTGGTAAGGTATTTAAAGTCGGTTATTAAAACCTGGACAAGAATGGATGGTGGATGTAACTAACAGCACAGTAGAGCAGGGTGGCTTAAATGCTGACCTTAGGTAAGGGTAGCAGGCTGTGGTGGCAGAGAAGGAACATCTAGATTATACTGTGGATTAAAGGATGGAACTGGAGAGTTGAGTCGGTGGTTCAGAGCACTTGTTCTTGCAGAGGACCCAGGTTTGATTCCCAGTACCCACATGGTGGTTCACAATCATCCATAACTCCAGTTCCATGATATCCAATGCTCTCTTCTGACCTCTGTGGACATCAGACACACATATGCACAGAAATAACATACAAGCAAAACACTCAGAAAATCAAATAAATAAATCTTAAGAAAAAGGATGATTTAGTTAGAGCTGGGGTTTCAGCTGACAGATCAAAGGGATTCTTCTTGGTATAGAATAAGAAAAATTACTTCAGATTTTATAAACAACAGGTTTTTGGTTTTTTCCTCTGGTGCTGGGGATCAAACCTAGGGCCTATTGTATGTTGGGCACATAGTCTACCAATTGAACCACATTTTCAGCCCTATAAATATGTTTTGTGGTCCATCAAAAAAGGTTTATTAGGCATTTGATAATACCATCAACATACATTTTTATGTATTTTCCCTCACCTCTTACATGCACATTAAATAAAATGTCCTTTAAATTTTTTATTTAAATAGTCTATTTACATGGAACTCAGAGGTTTATATTATCTTCTATTGTTCTGAACATTGTGGATTCTGGATGTTCTAACACTAATATGCATTAAATAGAAGACTTTTTTGTATATTAGGCTATAGTTTTCTTTTGCTGTAACTGTTTATTCGTCGGGGATATTGTTTCTATTCTGTACATGTGAGTTTAAATCTAGCCCATTGTGGAAGTCAAGTTCCCACTCTGTCCATTGCTGTGAAGAATCCTCATAGGTCACTTACACATTAAATGTGGGCCTCTGTGGCAGGTCTTGCTCATCTGACTAAGGGTTCAAGTACCTATGGGTACATAGATCACTAGTCAGGACATACTAGACATTGAACTTGAAAACTGCTTTATTAATCTTCAACTCATATTAATTATTCTCCATGAAACAGTTTGAAGATTAATATCCATCATTGTTAAGATGCCATAGCAACTCTGTTCATTCTCTTCTGGCCTTCATACTTAGCATTTGTTTTATCTTAGTCAATGGAGAAGTCTTTGTTTCTTGAAATGAAGCTTCGTGTTCCTTTGTCTTTGTAACTAACATGTCTCATGTGTGTTATAATAAGACATACTCAGGAAGTTTTTAAACAATAAATGCTTTAGAGCCAATTCTGAATGAGTTTTAAAGTTAATGCTTTTATTATTGAAAATTTCAATTTGGTTCCATTTCATCTGTCTTCATAGTGATCCTGTCTTCCAAATGGTGTTTTAAATTCTACAATTTAGTAACTTTCCGTTCTTGACTTTATAGTTATATGACTTTTTCTTTTTGCAGTGTACTTACATAGAAATTGATCAAGTTCCTGAAACTTATGCTGTTGTCCTTAGTCGCCCAGCTTGGTTGTGGGGGGCAGAAATGGGAGCCAACGAGCATGGAGTCTGCATTGGGAACGAGGCTGTGTGGGGAAGAGAAAATGTTTCTAAGGAGGAAGCACTTTTGGGCATGGACCTTGTCAGGTAGCTGTTATGTTGTTATGTTGTTTCCTCACTGCAGATTATGTGAGAAGTGGTCGAACACCAGCCAGCATCCACTTTCACACCAGCATGCAATTTCACGACTCTTAAATATCATTAATGAGTCTGGGGTGGATGGCTCGACCCATACAGTGTGTACTGCTCAAGCGTGAGGACCTGCGCTTGATCGCGAGCTCTCATGTGCAGCTCTCATAA